TTCCTTCACTGTGTGAGGTCATCTCTCATTACTTCATCTAATATACATAAAAATTTTGGTGTGGGAAAAAGTGCAAGAATATCAAACTGAAGAGTGTTGGATGCTTATTTCGATTTCTTTGAGCGTTTTGTTTTAAAAAATCTTAAATTCTATGTGGGGGAGGTACCAGAAGAAAATGGTCGATCTCAAAATTGTAGTATTAATATAACAAAGTTCGATAACTTATTTTGAGAATTATGAACATTCCAAATTTGGAGTTTTATGAGAAGCCGGAATATATAGGCGATAATTTCATATTTTACTTAACTTATGATTATTCAAACTATTATCAATGTTAGCGAAACGTACCAAAGGTTGTGAATGAATTGTGGATGAATTTATATACTTTATGGGGTCTACGACGAATATTTAGGCATGTTACAAACGGAATGACAAAGTTAATATACCCTCCTTTCCAAGGAGCCGCTTAAGGTTAGTTTGTGCATGTATGTTATTAGTTTGCTTTTTCGTGCAAATGTTTCATATTTGTCAACAATATTTAATAATTGATTTACATTTTTTTCCACATGTTTTACACTTTTTGTTGTTAATATAATGCAAACAGTGTTTGTTTGACGCCAATAATGGTATAAGGCTTGATTAAGTTTAAATTTCAGAAAATGACGAAAAGAAAATATGGCATCTTTGACAACTCCGTATAAGGTCGTAAGTTGTTGCCAGATTGTAATATTTGTAATAATTCTATTAATTTGTTATTCAAACGACAAACTTCAAAATTCTTGGTATATCCGCAATATAATGGTACCTGCCGATATTCGGTATTTTGATGATTTTAGAAAATTTCAGAAAATTGTCTGGGGAGGTCCACGTTTTCGTATAGCCCCCATATAACGGTACCTCCCGATATCCGTTACTTTGATGATTTTAGCGACATTATTTACCGGAATTATTTGAAGTTTGGTATTTGAAGTTCGTAATAAATACTGCAGCCTAATGCAGAAAATTGTCTGTGCTGGTCCACGTCTTCGTATAGCCCCCATATAACGGTACTTTGATGATTTTAGCGACATTATTCACCGCCTTTTTTCAAGTTTCGCATATGAATTCAGGTCCAAGCAGTCGTATAGACCCTAATATATCGTCTAACTTCAGTATTTTTAAGATTTTAACAGAATTTTATTTATTACTAGCTGGCCCGGTCCGCGTTGCCGGCCCATACTTTTAGTCTTTAAAGCATAATAAGTCACAGATCTGACTTATGTAGGCGGCACAATTTTGATTAAAAGTAATGACTCCATTATAATTACTCCAATTTTGATTTTAAGTAATGACTTGATTATGAGTAATGACTCCATGACTAAATATAAATTAATATTCATGGCAAAAATTATAATTACCGTCGGTTTCAGATATTTTGAATAGCCTGATCTTATTTTTCAGTTGTAGGCTTTAATTTGAGTGTTAAATACCTATATGAACATCTATAATAGCCCCATGTGAAAAGTCTGCTCAATTTTTGGTATTGTAAAAAGCATTCAAATGAGCTATAATTTGAAATTTGTATTTCCAACGTTTAAAATCCCGTACTGCGTGGTATTTAGTTTTGTCCACCTCATACTTGAAGACAGAATGTTGTCAGAATAGCCAAAAAATTACTCTTTTGCTCCGATTACCGTAAGATGGGCATTAATTGTTAAAATTACTTTATAATTTCGTATTTTGTTATGTTTCTGCCACAATTTCCGACTGAATGAGTCCCAGATTGACATTTCGGAGTTTATTTCATATAGACGTACATACCAAATCTACGTTCCCAACCAATATTCTCTTGGGGGTTACAAATTCAATAGAATACCAAATTTTCTTTTCTGACCACACATTGGTTGGGAAAGTGGACTTGGGGTATACTAATGTGGGGGCTATACTTAAATAAATTCCTATGTGGGTAATTATTTGTAAGATGATTTTCTACCCCAGGGTTTTTTACCCCAGGTAGCCTCAAGACTAAGATGCGCACTTTTCCGAAAAATAAAAAATTTATAAGAAGAGGTTTTCTTCCCCCTTAGAAACAAAGATGTCAATTAAGGGCCAAAAATGAAAAAAAGTGGCCAATATCCCGAAAATACCTTAAATCATATGATGGTGATACCAAAACGTGATAATTTTTTGCAAAGATGGTTTCTTCTTAAATTATCAACATAAGCTAAAATTAGTACGAAAAATATGGTTAAAATGTAGAATATACTTGAAATCGGGTTGTTCCGTTGTCGGGGGTTATGATCCATATTATGACCTGCCAAAGCGATTTAAGGTATCTTGAATGTTTAGGTAGAATTTCTATTTTGCGTTCTATATAGTCGGTATTTGACTGATTGCAGTCCCAATGTATTTTGCATTTTGTGTTTTCATTTGACAATTTATTGTCATTTGAAAGAAGCAGGTCCACTTTTTGAAATTAACCCCATAACGCTTCTTCTGTCATTTTTGTTTGTTTAAATGTGTTCGCATCTTCCAGCTGAAGCACGATGTAGGTCCTGGAGTAGAAAGCATTTAACATCGTATTGCGCTCTCATTTCATTTTTACATTATTCATTATTCATTCAATAAAAAAAATGTACACTTCAATATAGAAAAAAGAAAAAGAATCTTCAACTGGTTCGCTGATTTTTTTGCGGCAAATTTTTAAAGGTGATTACTAAGTTTCTCGGTAGAATGTACTATTATTTTGAAATTCGATTCCATTGAAAAATTATCGATTTTTCCCGATTTTAGAATTTTCATATAAAGCGACAACGGATAAAATTGTTATTTATAGATTTTATGTATTTATTGGGTATTACATAAAATACATAAAATCTATAAATAACAGTTTTGTTCGTTGTGGCTTTATACTACCCAAAAAAACCTACACATCATATTAGAATTCAAAAAAAAAAAAAAAAACACTACAAATGTACATTCGAAAATAGTAAGTCAAAATGGAAAAAAATATGCAATATAAAACATTACTATTGTACATTTTAAAAGTCAAAATGAAAATGTTTAAATTTCACATTTTTACGCGATTTTTTTGGATTTTATTCTTTTCTGCCAAGAGGCAATTCCGAATTTGTCTAAATCGTTAAAATCAGACCTGCGGTCTTTATGTTATAAAAGTAGTAACTAACACAACTTTCTTTTACATATAGAGAGATAGATTTAAAAGTAGGCGCGTTCCTCAGCCCCTAAATAAGTACTTAGGGTTGGATGGAAAGCCAACAGCATCTCGTGTAATAATCCTCAAACCGATATCTTCACTATTTTGGCAAATATAAAGATTTCAGATAAATCGTAATAGTGGGCGTAAAAGGAGGCGTGGTCAATATTTTTTTCTTCAAAAACCTAACTCGGGGTATGACGAACGTTTGTACAAAAAATTATGCAAATCGGTCCAGCCGTTTTCAACTGATTCCGTTACCAACAAACAACAATTGATTTTTATATATATAGATTATTATTATTTTTTTTGTAATTGCCAAATTTATTCCAAATGGTGGAGTGTATTCAAAGTTCTGCCCGGCCAAACTTTTAACTTTTTTACTTGTTTTTTTTATTCTTTGCTTCCAACTGCTATTTTTATACCTCCACCTTGGAAAGGAGGGTATATTAACTTTGTCATTCCGTCTGTCTGTCCGTCTGTCTGTTGAAATCACGATACAGCCCACATTATTTGGCGTATTATTTTGCCAAAATTTAGAGAGCTATTTGCATTGTGTCTAGGATGGTTGGTATTGAAAATGAGATATATCGGTCCACGTTCTAGTATAGTCCCCATATAACGGTACCTCCCGATATTCGGTATTTTGATGATTTATGCCACATTTTTTCACGGATTTGTCTGAAAATTGGTATTTGTAGGTCATAACGGGTTCCTGAGCGTGTGACAAAACATTGAATGTATAGGTCCACGTTGTGGTATAGCCCCCATATAAAGGTAACTCCCGATATTCGGTATTTTAGTTTTTTTTTGCCACATTTTTTTCACGAATTTGTCTGAAAATTGGTGTTTGTTGGTCATAATGGGTTCCAGCTCCGGTGGCGAAACATTCCATGTATGGGTCCATGATTTGGTATAGCCCCCATATAACAGTACCTCCCGATATTCGGTGTTTTGATGGTTTTTGCCACATTTTTTTCACTGATTTGTCTAAAAATTGGTATTTGTGGGTCATAATGGGTCCTAGTTCGTGTGGCGAAACATTGTAATTATAGGTCCACGTTTTGGTATAGCCCTCATATAACGGTACCTCCCGATATTCGGCATTTTAATGGTTTTTGCCACATTTCTTCTAATGATTCTTTTACCCTAAGGTGAAGGGTATTAAAAGTTTTGCCCGGCCGAACTTAATGTTTTTTACTTGTAATTCTATTCAGGTCATGCAGCTAAAAGTTTCTGCAGGATTCTATTGTGTCTCAAAAGGATTATTTCACTGAATACACACTTCATGCTGTATCTTGAAGTAAATGAAACATGTGTGCACCATACTACTCATAAATAGTTCCACTGCATTCGTCCGCCACTGTATGCCGATCAACATTGATCGGTAATGATATGTGTATGCACTGGATGATTGAATTCTCTGTTGATGTTGCGAGGAGATGGTTGTTCTATACCACCGGGGGAATGATCAAATGTAAACAAAAAACCCCAAAACATACACATTTTGAAATAACAATAAAAAATACTGGGCTGCCGTTGGCTTTGAATGCAAACACGACTATAAATATTTCAAGAACCAGTATTTTACAAGTTTTTGCTTTGTTCAGCGCGAATGGAGTCCGGAGAGAGGAAGAGATAGATAAAATAAGAGAAGATCTTGCAATTGAAATGACTCTTTTCTTCAAGTGGGGAGTTCTTCGAGAGCATGTCGATCTGAAGAGTTAACCGTAAGATCGCGTTTAGCAGAGCGGTTTGTTTATGTTTGGTGAGCACATTGTCTGTTGTTGTTGCTGCTGCTGCTTCTGTTGTTGTAGCAACAGACGTTGACTTCAGATAAATTTTGTGTTGAGTTGTTGTATGGGTGTCTGTCTTGACTTTTGCCAAGTTGCTGATGTCAGTCTTCAGTGTTCACTGTTAAAGATACAAAGTACCCCTTGACAATAGAAGCGGATAACGACGGCGCGAGCGTGTAATTGTTTGACTTGTTTGTCTTTTGGAAGAGGGTAAAAATATTGTCGAATTTTTTTTTTGCATTTGGCCTTTAACGATCGATGTTTTCGAAAGTGTAATTCTATTGTTGCCGTAGTGTGGTGGCAGGCAACCTATGCGTGTTTCCTGCAGGTCCAGTGTTAAATGTGAAATTGTTATTTTTGCCAAAATAAAAAGAATTACGGCCAAGAATAATGAAATAGAATGCAAACCGTTACCATGCAATTGTCCGATCATTGTAGTCTGACGCGAATCAAAAGAAGCTTGCCTTCCTACCACTTTAATAAATTGCACAGAGAGATCTGTGAAATATTGTAAAATACAATATCGAAATGAGTGTGTGTCTGTTTGTGTGTTTGAATAAGCCTACAATGTACTAAAACTAAGTAACAAAAATAAATTTGGAAAAACTACTTAGCGTTTGCGTGACGCTGTAAATATAGATCGATGCTTGAAAGTTTTTTCGTTGCCTTTTTTCTTTTGTGAAGTTTTCAACTTGGCATTTGTTTTTAATATAAGTTTTTGTGTATGTGTGTGTCCGTTGTGGCCAAGACGACAACAAGCCACGTTAAGATAGCCAAAGTCCTTCTAGACTGCTTAATAAGCAGCAGCCGAGCTTCATTAAAGTGTCTTGCAACACAAGTACGAGTACTACGCGAACGCAACAACAACAACAACAGCAGCAACAAGTCCACTTATAGAAATACGTGAAAAAGTGCAATCGACCGACGGTACGTCTCCAACCAACAAACCAACAAGAAATACAGCCGGCCAACACAGTGGCAATTGCGGCATCACAACCGAATACTTTGAAGGCTGTCGTTGGCAGTTATCTATTTCTTGTTGTTGTTGCCATTGCAGTTGTGGCAGTGGCATAGCTTTTTATGCAATTTAAGCCTCAAGAATTATCAACCAACGTTCTTGTCGTGTTTTTTGCGCGTTTCTTACTTTCGAGAGTGAATGTGTCCCAAGACATCGTTAGTTTCGTTCCAGAGAGGTCGTTGTTGTTGTGCTGCAGTCGATTTTCTTGGCCCATAACCAAGTACAACGAATAAAGAAATATTTCGCTCATTAACGAGAACCGTTTGCCAAGGAAACAACCGGCCAGCCCGAGCGACCAACCAAAAAAGAAAAAGGAATAAATAAAAGTACCCCATGAAAATGCAATAAAAAGCGAATTAAACGTTTAAACTCCCATTCAAAAGTGACAATAAAACCTCTCCTAAACACGACAATGAATAAATATCCAACAGATAAGATCGAAACAACAATAGCAACCAGTTAAAACAACTAGATTTGTGGCTAATCACTAAATCACTAAGCCTATCATAATTAAAAATCGTTCAACATAATTTGAATGATCAACAGCCAAAAAAAAAAAAAAAAATACTCTAGCAGTCAATAAAATACCAGTAATACAACCGAAACAACAACAACAACAGCAGCAATAAAATTATATTAAAAAGGAAATTCCGAATTGAAATCATAAAATATAGTAATAAAATAAAACAAATTAGAAAAAAGTGATAAAAAATAATTTCCAACAAAGCGTGCGATTGTCTTCAATGACAATCTCGGTTGTTCCGAAAAAAAGTAAAATCATAAATCCCATAAGCATTCATTTTTAATAAATCATGGAATTAAAATTAAATTTCTGTGGCAAATATTTTTGAATGAGAAATATTTTTTAATATTGTCAAAAAAAAAATAAAAAAAGTGATAAATTACTTCTGTGAATTTGTGTTAATTCGGTTGGTGTGAATCACAGTGAATCTGTTGTTTTCTTAAATTTGAATACACAAAAATATTTTACCTCTGAACATGTGAATGTAAGAGTGTGCAGCATAAGCCCATAAATACTAATTTATATTAAAGGATAATCAGCTGGCGAATTCAACAAAATGGATAACTTTCAAACCACAAATGTTCCAGAATTAGAAAGGTATGGTAGTCTTTTTTTTTTTACATTTATAACTCAATATTTAACTGTTTTAGAAGGATATTCAGAAATTGAACATTACAACAATGCACAAGTTTGAACTTAGGAAAAAAGTTTGAGTTATTTGATGCCACTAAGCGGGAAATGTAACTCAAATTTATTATGACCTAAGGCAGCAAGTAGTGGTACAATGTGAAAGTAAAATGGTTTTTAATTTCTTGGATGGACAAACCCATTTGTACTATTGATTCCAAGGATTTAAATGCTTTATTTGGGAAGTCATTACTTTGCGAAGGTACCGGAAACAGCCATGCTCATTGTCAATAAAATAGAATCAAAGTATTGACTTTACGCAGAAACTAAATATATCGTGAAAATTAGGATTTAAGTTTATGTCTTGGAAAGCTTACCGTGCGTAGACGACACTGTGGCCTAGAGTACATTTCGCCAGTGTCTTGCTTAAGTGTTTCATATGTGATTATTTGTGGTTTCTGGTATTTTCTTTTTGTTTCTATCTGCTTTAAGTTCGAGAAGATCGCAAACAGGGGTTTCCAGTTATTATACTCTCAGCCATATGACTACAAAGGGTATATATCATTTGATACGACCAAAACGAGCTTCATCGAAATAACGGTTAGAGGCCCTAGGTATCTTTGGACCAAATCCGCCGCCCATCCGTCTGCCAGGCTGGCTGGTGCGGACGATAACTCTCGAAAGGATTAAACGAACTCATCTAAATTTGTTACATTGTAATATTATTATCAAACATATAGTGTGTTCAGAGATGGACACAGCTTCTTAAACCTCCTCAAAAGATCAAAATTTTTATAAATAATATTTTACCCTAGAAAAAAGGATCATCCGATGTCGTTCAAACTTTGTAAATTATAATATTTATATCAGTTCTAGGTACGTTCTAAAAATGGACTGTATCGGCCGATTTTGAATAATCAAAACTCATACAAAATGTGAAATAAGATTGTCTTCAAATTTCGCACATCCACATTTTTCTACCAACTCTAGATCTGGTATAAATATGCGATAGAACAGACAGATTTTTCTACGATATTCTTCAAACTTAGTAGGTTGAAGTAGGTTGATACAATTCACCAGAATGGTTTCAAATTTAGTATTTGAAGTTCGTAATTAATACTACAGGCTAAAACAGAAAATTGTCTGTGCTGGACCGCGTTTTGGTATAGCCCCCATATAATAGTACCTCCATATATTCGGTATTTTGATGATTTTAGCTACATTATTAACCGAATTTTATTTTCAAGTTTCGCATTCGAATATTGTAATGGCTTATGACAAATGTTGCCTATGTAGGTCCACGTTGTCGTATACATACGGCAATATAAGATACTTTTAAGATTTTAAAAGATTTTTTTAACGGATTATATTTTTTTGATAATTGCCAAATTCCTTCCAAATGGTGGAGGGTGTTCAAAATTCGCCCCGACCAAATTTACACCTTTTTACTTGTTTTTTTTTTTTTTTTTTTTTTTTTTTTTTCAATATGTCCAAATATTTTACTGGATGTAATGGGAAATGATCTCGCTGAAACATAGATTTTTTTTGATTTTATCAATGGTAGAACTGCATCAATGTAGCCTTATTTGAAATAAAGTCACAGCTCTAAATTTTCTGCAATTAAGTTGTCAGCCACATAAAAAACAGGATCCTATCTCTAATTTGTAAGCTACTTCCTATGGGAACGAAAACTAGTTTACGAGTATGTGCATACAGTTTGATATAGCCCCCAGATAACGGTACCGCCCACTTAGAACCATTCCTGCAAAATTATATCCATATATTTCATTCCCTTATCTTCATACGCTTGAAAATTATCAGTCTAAAAGTCTCTGTAATGTGATGTGGAAGTGAAATAAATAAACGAATTTCAATACCTGATAATGATCGTCGATGCCGAAATAAAATGATGAAACAAAATTAATTGTTTTTTATTCTACTGACCTCAAGCCAAATTAAATAAGAAAAAAAATTATCAAAAATTGTTTTTAACTCCTAGCTATTTACTTATGTCTCCACAAATTCCATTTAATCTGGAAACCCTAGAAAGGATTGTATTATATTCGCAGAATTTTCTTGTAATAAATTAGAACAAAAACCTTATTACGTTATATCTCCCATGTAGCAGTACTTTCCAATTTAAAGAAACTCCAAGTCATTGCCACCATATTTATCAGGTTTAGCCCGTTTGATCAATTCAAGTTTACCTCAAACATTCGATGCCTTGATTTGAATAAATTTCTGTAAATAACTGTTGATTTCGTGTCGAGCCCACACATAAACCAATTTCAATTAGTTCTATGATTAGAAGTGAATAATAAAATTTGTTATCTATATATATATAAATGTAAGTTGTGTTAGTTACTACGCTTATAACTCAAGAACCGCTGATCTGATTTTAACGATTCATACAAATTCTGAATTGTCTCTTTTCCGAAAAGGATAATATTCAAAAAAATCGCGTAAAAATGTGATATATTAACATTTTCATTTTGACTTCTGAAATGTACAATCGTAATGTTTTATTTTGTATGTTTTTTTTCCATTTTGACTTACTTTTTTCGAATGTACATTTGTAGTGTTTTTTATAATATTTTTTTTTTCTTTTTGATTCGAATATTAATACCAATTTATTTTGACTCGATTTCTTGAGAACTGAAATAGAAGCCGGGTTACATTGAAGTTTAGTACCAAATTATGTGGTGGCGAAACGAAATAGATGTTATCGAAATTATTTAACGCGGTCACACCAAATTTAAGTCAAAATTTCTAAAAATCTTGAAAAAAGAGATCTCATTGCAAAAATTCTCAAATCGGGGAAAAATTACATAAGGTATAACTAAAGAACGGCTTGACAATTCATACAATTTTGGAATGGTATCCAATAAAAATATTAATAAAAAATTTCTTTTTGGTGTGATTTTTTTCAATTTGACATACTATATTGAAGTGAACATTTTTTATTGCCTTGAAATCTGAATGAATAATATTTAAAATAAAATGAGTGACCTACGTGGACCTACATCTTTCATATGGCAATAATCCGCCCAATGAGAACTCAAAATGCAATTCATTGGAACTGCAGTCAGTGAAATACCGAATATAAAGGGTGCAAAATGGTAGAGCGAATTGGACATTTAGGAAAAAAGAAAGAAATTCTTCCTAAACTTTCAAGATGTCTTAAATCGCTTTTGCAGGTCATGATATATGACCCCCGGATAAGGGTACAACCCTCTTTCAAGTATTGTTTACATTTTAACCACATTTTTCTTACACTCAATTTAATTTGATAAGAAACCATCCTCGCAAAATATGATCATGTTTTGGTATAACCATCATATAATTTAAGCCATGTTCGGGGTCTTCGACATTTTTTTCATCTTTAGGCCTTTATTTGGCATCTTTGTTTCTAAGGGTGTAAAAACCTCTTCTCATAATATTTTCAATTTTCGGAGTAGAGTCCATCTTGGTCTTGACCACATTCATCAATTGATTTGGCTAAAAAATTGTATTTAGGCAACTCTGGGGTAGAGAATCGTCCCTCAGATAATTGTCCACATAGGCATTTATTCGAATATAGTTCTCACATTAGTGTACCCACAAATCCGCTTTCCTAACCAATGTTTGGTCAGAAAAGAAAATTTGATATACTATTGAATTTGAAACTCCAAAGAGAATATTGGTTGGGAACGTAGATGTGGGATTAACATCTACATGCCATAAACTCCGAAATATCAAATTGTGGCAGAAACATTAAAAAATCACGAATATTATTTTTTTTTGTTCGTTATTGAATTATACTATGATGAAAAATATGGACTTTATGGGTTCTCCAACTCACAATTTAAATGACAAAAATAAATTAATTAATATTTCACGGTAATGGGTGTAAAAAAGCAATTATCTTTGACTATTTTGAAATCATTCCGCCCTCAATTATGAGGTGGACAAAACTAAATACCACGCAGCACGGTATTCTTAACATTGGAAATTCAATACCAAAAATTTAGCTGAGTTTTCACATGGGGCTATTATAGAAGTTCTATATCATACAGGTTTTTAACACTCAATTATAGCCTTAGGCTGAAAAATAAGATCAGGCTATTCAAAATATCTAAAACCGACGGTAGATTATTATCTATTATAATTTTTCCCATGAATGTTTATTTCTATTTAGAAATTACTATGGAGTTATTTTACTTATAATAAAAATTGTGCCGCTTTCATAATTCTATAATGCTTAAAAAAATATGCATTATAGACTAAAAGTAGGGGCCGGCAACGCGGACCGGGCCAGCTAGTGTTTTGTATAAATTAAAAATGTGAACTGCATTGATTGGAGACAATCAAAGGTTATTACATTTCATTTATAACCGGTTACAAATATGCAAAACTGGACAAGTACGGACATTTTTTCCATAGCTGGAAATTAATAAAGTGAACGAGCGATCGCACGAATGAACGTATTTGTCAACAAAACATAATTTTTTGATTTATTTCGAAATTAATTAAAAATTTTATTAGTATTGCGGTTTCTAATTGAGTTATCATTATACATTTTAATGAGAACAAAACGAAAAAATTGAGGCGAAATTTATACATTTGGCAAATGTTTTTATTACTTTTATAGAGAGAACTAGAAGAATGTATTTTTTTTACTACGATAAACGATTTTTGCTTTATGATATTCAAATTGTTTGAACACCACACAGGATTGTGAAAATCGGTTCAGATATAGCTTTGTGTATGTTTAATCCGATTTGGTGTTTAAGTCACTCACATTCGGAATATGCATTCACAACAATATTTCGTACTCAAAACAGAACGAAAAGCCTATTGACGTGCGGGGCTCAAAATGTGAAGATTGGAAAGGAAGAAAGTCGGTTTCCGTTTTGAAATAATCCAATACAGTCCTGCGAAAATGCTACCTTTGACTTTTGGCCGGTAGTATTCGCCCTTTATTTACGCTA